TAATGAAGGTTTATGTTAAAAATTTCAAAGAATTATGACAAGAAACAAGAAAGATATTGAGACTTTAGTTTCAGCCAATCAGAGCGAAGCACACGTGCATGCGCGTGCGATCTTGCTATTTTGACCATGTCATCTTGTGCATACTACTAATATATACTTATAAAATGAGTTTCAAAGCATTTCATCAATAATTTTAATAGTTACGTCTGTATCAATTATATTGGACATTTCTCGTGTTGCACGTGCGAGCTCTTGCAAGCACATGTGCATGCACATGCTTTCATGAAAAATCTTATATTACAGGCTGTAGATCTCCCTAATGTATGACTAAGTTCAAAATTTCAAATGATTTTATCAAAAAACAAAAAAGATATTGAGACTTTAGTTGCAGCCAATCAGAGCGAAGCACACGTGCATGCGCGTGCGATCTTGCTATTTTGACCATGTCATCTTGTGCATACTACTAATATATCCTTACATTATAAGTTTCAAAACATTTCGTCACAAATAGAGAAGTTACGGTTATATCCATTATATATTGGTCATTTTAAGTTTTGCACGTGCGCGCTCTTGCAAGCACGTGCGTGCAAAATGACCTTGATTCCGCAAATCTACATAACATGCCTACTTACCCTAAAAAGGTTTCACCTAAGTCGGATGTGTAGTTTACAAGATCACTCGCGGACAAAATTTTCCCAGGAAGAAAAATAATAATAAGAATAAGAATAATAATAATAAGAAACAGAGTAAAAACAATATGTTCCCCAACTTCGTTTGGGGAACATAATAATAAGAAACATAGTAAAAACAATATGTTCCCCAACTTCGTTTGGGGAACATAATAAGAAACAGAGTAAAAACAATATGTTCCCCAACTTCGTTTGGGGAACATAATTTACTAGGTGTACAATGTACACTGTCGAAAACAAGAACGGCAAATTATCAAAAAAAAGAATATCTGTCTGCATTCAAAATACAGTATTCAGAGCTGATGGTACCAAAATATATTCAAATTAATTTGGTACCATCATCCTTTTCCATGATATAGCATAGTTTGATCGTAAGATTTAATCATTAACTTAATTGATAATTTATGGGGAATGTATACATTTGTACTCAGATCATAGTCAAATACATTTTAATTCTCAAATCATAGTCAAATACATTTTAAATCAGCTTTTATGATTAGTTTTTTAAATGAATGTACATGTATTTGAAATGCGTGGATGTGTAATTTCAACGAAATACTGTAATTGCTGATTTTTAGCTTAGCCACGTATCCTAAACATTCTAGCTGTATTAAATAACTATCAGAGGTAGTATAAGGAAAATATTGAAAAAGGTATAATTACAATTTTTTTTACGTTTTGACGGCAAAAGGACAAACATATGTCTTTTGACATCTACAAGTGTATGTGAAATATGTGGAGAAAACAGTTTTCAAGCTCAAAAGTCCATTAAACATTACAAATTAGGAGCAGAGCAAACACGGGCCTCCAAAACATCAGAGGTGAGATCAGGTGTCATGGAGGAGTAAGCATCCCCTGCTAATCGGCCTCACCCGCCGCGTGCTCCTTATCATAATCGGGAAATAACCGTCGAGAAAATCAGTCGACAATTCAGTATATAAATGATGGCCTAATAGTTCCTACGAAAAACGTCAGTCAGTATTTGACTAAATGATAGATTGTATTTGCTGACATGGTCATTGTGTTGACCATAGAACTTACGAAATGATGACTTTGAACGAGACTGCTGATTTTCTAGTAACATCGACTTTTTTGTCAAAAACAACTCATTCTAGAAATTGTTCATACATAGATCATGCTCTTGCGTATCGAATCAACTGAGAAATATAAATCCTATATAAAGGTTAAGAAGGAAAATTGCTGAATATGTAAGGATAGCTGACAATTGAAAAGTTAAAGTTATGTCTGCTTATAACGAGTGCAGTAAGTATCCATGTAATTTTTGACATGAGAAAACTTGATTTCCTATGTAAATTCATAATGTACACGTGAAAAAAAACTTTCTGTCCATATCCAATAATAGTAAATGACTATTAATAACCTTTGATATTTTGATAAGGATGCTTTTTCTTTTCCGTAATATTTTGATTTAGAACTGAACACATATATTTAATCTACAATTCTATTTATCTGTTGAAAGGTTTTCATTTAATTTAAGGAACGACTAAAGTTGAAATTGTACAGGCTGTCTAGTTTTTAAAACTAATGAAATGGAGTTTTGAGTAATGAAGAAGGTTTTATCTAATAGTATGTTATATAAAGTCATCAGAATATTGATTGGATAATTCAAAGAAATGTATAGATAACAAACAATTTTCAAGCTCAAAAGTCCGTTCAAACAATACATTCAGGAGCAGAGCAAACACAGACCTCTAGGCATCTGAGGTAGGGCCAGGTGTAATAGAGGAGTGAACATGCCCTGATGACTGGTCAAACCCTTCACACGATCGAAAAAAAGATAAAAGATACGTTGACAATTCATTGTGAAATAATGACCTAACATTTGGTATAAAAGAAACGTCAACCAGCATTTAGCTTATTAATATATTTTAAAAAATCCTCTTCATTTGCTCTGCACGTGAAATAAAGTAATAAACCCCTTAATCATACATCAACGAAATAAGCCCTTTTATAAAAAGATATATAGAATAATAAAACTTTTTCATTCTAATACTTTCGTATGGCATATTTGACTCAGTATCTAATGCAACCTTTCTATAGAATAGCTATAACCGTATATTCATCTTTTTAACAAACATTACATTACGGTTGGGTTTTTATGTCCCCAAAACTGAAGATTTCAAAACTTATAGTTTTACTCTACATATCCGTCTGTCTGTCTGTCTGTCTGTCTATCTCTTGTAGACTGTTTGTCCGCGAAAACTTAAACCTTGCCCATGATAGCTTTTTATTGGTTGGCGTTATGGCTTTAATATTTCCCATGAATACTTCTTGTGAAAGACCTTCTTATTAAACATTAATTAAGGGTTTGTAGTAAGAATAAGAAGTAAGTATTAGATTCTTTTTACATTGTATGTGCAACGTTGGCACACAACATAGATAAACATGTCTGAGGAGATTTAATCCTCCCCCAACAAACGTTTTCTGGGTAATATTCTTTCCGGAGAAAAAAAAAAGAGATAAACAAATTGAAAAAAAAAATTATTGATTCATACAGTACATAAACTTTAAAAATGTCTATCTTAAGGGCTTAATATTAAAAAAAGGGATGGGGAATAACCTCTCATCTTTATTTTACAATTACTTAGTATGCAACATACAAATGTCCATCTCTCATACTTCCCATTTACATTACATTGACAAGACCTTTCCAAGCTGCGGCAGATTCTATGGTGTCTTTTACTGGAATATATCGAGCACTGGGATTACGAATCCAGTACAAGCAAGATAGATTGAACTCACATTGGTTGACAGATGAATGAAAAGTATTAAACTATATAGTAGAATTTTGATGAATTCCTTCCTTTAAAACGACATATATGGAGATAACGAACAGTATTCGGGATAAAAAGTCAATAAAACAATATAAATTTGGAGCAGAGAAAACACAGACCCCTAAAAACATCAGAGGTGGGATCAGGTTACATGGAGGAGTGAGCATCCCCTGTCGACCGGGCACACCCGCCGTGTGTTCTTTGTAATAATTGTAATTTGGAAAACACGGGAAAATCCTTGAACAATACATTGTGTATATAATGGCTTAACAATTTGTATGAAAAACGTAAGTCAGGATTTGACATACATGTAATGATGAATTGTATTTGCTAACAAGGTCATCGTAGAACTTTTAAAAATGATGATTTTAAACGAGACTGCTGAAATTCTTGAAAGTGAACTGTCAGTATATGCCGGGTTTCAAGACGAAAAATTTCTTCAAAATCACAATTATAATGAACGTAACGTGGATGTCAGCCTACGTCCTAAAAACGGCTTCATAAAATCAACCATATTGTTGAGTCAGCAAAACATGAGGACAATATTTTTTAAGGAAAAAATAGTCTTCCTTTCTATCTGTTATATCACATTTCTTTTTTCGTCTGTTCAAACATCATCAATCCATATCTTTTCATCCTCCATATTATCGTTACATCGTCTGCACTATTCTTTTCTGCGTGTGTTCGTTGCCCGGATATCAGTCAGGATGTAATTGTTTCCTTTTCCTAATACAGCTAGAGTGATACATATTATAAGTGTGGATATTGTATGTTTTACATTGCATAACAGAATTGTGAACAATGAATTTCAACTTTATTATTATACTGCTCGGAATTTCTTTCACACAGACTGGTAAGTTAGCGATAAGAAATATAAAATTAAATAAGGAATATAAAATTAAATGAGTTAAATGTGTACAAAGGTACACATTTATTTATTCAGTACACATGTATTATACAGCGTTTTTTTAAATATATTCCCAAAAGTCACTTACACGTTAACGAAATATTTGGCATTTAAAATGTATTTGAGAGAGTTGGCTATGGACACCATTTATATCTTCTTATATTCATATATTCAATCAGAAAGTGATTCAATACAACAAGATATGTGTAAGTCTATCATGTACTACTGTATCATTTAACCTTATTGTTCTCAGATCATTTTTCATCCTGATTTTATTTTATGCTGATACGTGTTTTGTCAATGTCTCCCACAAAGTCATGTCAGATGGAATCCTCTAGCTTCTGGTGTTAAGGTTTGATCAAACCTTTTAGAATCATTTGAAAACTGAATATCCGAAAAGTTAATGTACTTAAAAAAGAGGTTACTGATGTACAAAATCATCTGATTCAAATGACAACTAATGTTTGTGTGCCTGACTATGTGTAACATCTTGACGTTTAATAGTGGCACTTAGAAAGAATAAGTACAGTTTTTACTCTGTTAAGCAGTAGTTTTGTAACAAGTAAATGATAAAGCCAAAAAGTGTAAACTAGACTTTACATTTTGGAAGAAAAAAATTATCTTCGTTTGATTCTGTTTGAGTAATTGATGGTTATTAATGACTAACATAATTTAATTGACTGATTGAAGTTCATATCTGCCCTCGTTTCTTAAAATTATTCAAAATATGAGGAAACTCGAGTGATTGATAGAAAAGTCAATGATGGACACGAGCTTTGAAACAAACATGTACATGTATTTTGTGGTAACTACGTTAAGGTAATAAAATTAATCAAACAAACTAAATACATAGTTATGATATGCAGGGTGCCTCTCCCAAGATTGCAAATTTCTTAGCCCCTAGGTCGAGGGTTCTGATGTTAGGGCAGAACTCTGTAAATTGGAAATTGAATATACATTACTTCTTTTAAAAATTTTTCCTCTACCCCTGGGTATTAAACCGATGAATTGAGTTCTTAGTTAAACAACGGTACCTCCTCTAAAGATGTGACCACAGGGAAAAGATGAGGAAGAATAGCTTTATCTTTCAGTTAATTTTGTTTTATACATGTACATCTACGGATCGTTTACAGTGTTGTTTTATAAGCATTTGACCGTGAAGGTCCCTATGCCTCTTTTATTCTAAATTTATTTTTTGATCATTTTTTATACGCATGAGCTTTTTTCTTTAAATGACATTTATGTCTTCTAATCCTTATAGGCAAGATCGCCGCAGCTTGTTTTTGCTAATTTTGTAAAAGTCAAATAAAACACTTTCATGTAGATGAATAATGTCATTTATTGAAATGACGGTATAAATGTGAACAATTTAACAAACAAGTAGGGGATCAGATTCACAAGCTTTGCTTATCACTTACGTAAAATATGATAATGTCTGATCCCCCAAAATGACTAGAAAAAAGTATCTGTAAGACAAGACAATCAAAACATCATATTAAAAAGTTAGCAAAAAGATGGCACATCAAAACAAAATAGGCAACATCACAAGAAAAAGTTGGCAAAAAGATGGTACATCAAAAGAACAATCAAAACCTAAGAAGAAAACGCATGCGAAAAGATAATAATCAAAACAAATTACATAGAATCAGTAAAACAATTGAATACAAACTATATTAAAATATATATTTTTCAAGACACATTAATTATCATATTAAGGGATAGGAATGTTGGGGTGGAGGTGGGTCTTCAAAATAGACGTACCTCATGTTAGCGGTGGTGAGCGCCCGAGTATGAATGACTCGCAGAGCTGACCACATGACCGACAGATTCTATTACACTTAATCCATCAGGCAAGGCGTGGATCTGAGAATTTTCACAATTTACCAACGTAAATGTTCCGGACACCTCCAAACAAATTATCGCATTAAATACATAAATGCAATTATTAAGGTCTTCCGTCTTCACGGAAGACCTTCTAGTGATTCTACTGTTTCTTATTATTATTATTATTATTATTATTTTTTTCCCCAAAATTTTGTGCACGCGATTTCTCGAAAACTATTCAGTAGTTTTCTGTGAAAATTTCAGGAATTATGCGTCATTATATGAAGTTGTGGCATGGATAGGAAAATTTGGAATACTCACCTTTGGTTCCAAGTTATTGACACTTTTCTGATTTTAAAATGCAATTTTGTCCCCCCTTTTTTTCGAAAATGGTTTAAGATATTAACTGGAGACTTGTAAGAGACTATAGATGATGACTTTTAGATGTGACGAATCACCTTTTCGTGTGTCGTCGGTACTTCCGGTTGCTACCGAAAGCGAAATTAAAAAGTCCGTATTTTCTAACTTTTTTGTTTTTCAATATTTTTCATTGATTTTTAGAATTTTAATAGAGACCCTTCTTATAATGCTTACTATATAATTTGTTTGAATATTGATAAATCCAAACTCTAGAAATTAACATTCAAAAATCTGAAGTGGGTCCAAAATGGCGGCTGTCTCTGTCAACTCCGACATTTCGCAATAGGGGTTTACGGAGGCAGCAGAGCGTTTGCTTGAACGAAAGTAAAATAAGGATAAAAGAAGTGTAAAAGAATACTAGGATTGTCACGTCGTTGTTACGTTGCAAACGTGTGTCAAACTATGTTTTAATCCATGGTGGTCTCAAACGTCTTCTATAATTGGTTTTGGCTGGGTCTCAAAGTAGAAAAAGAAAAGACTAAATGTGCAAATGAAATACGATACCTAGTATCTTTTACATTTTGCGGAAAAACAGATTTTAAACCATAGTTATAAGTAATAGTTTTTAAGAAACATATATAGTAAGTATTAAACGTAACCACCGTTTTCCTAATGCACACTTGAATTAAACAAATACAAAAGACAGAAATAAGAAAACCATTTCTAAAAAGATAATTTAATGGAGTTTATATCATCATTCTTGTCTCAATGATCTCATTCAAGTTATTAAACATAAATGGTGTCTGATTCCTTGACCGTCGTTTTCGGCTTTTCGGCGAAGCAATTCAAGCTGTACATGAAAGTTTAAGTACCGGGTAATCGGGATATTTCATTATGGGGATAAACAGCAAAATAAAAATCAGTTGAAAATTATAGCAGTTTCACTGATTTAGTGCTAGTTATCTATATACTATAGTACGATATAGAATGTGTAAAAGCGTTAAATATACTTTCTTAACAATGAAATTTAAGCTATACGAACATTCTTTTTTTTATTTCCATTGAAACTATCACACCTATTTAATGGAACATTCCAAAGAAAAAGGCCCGAAGATTTCTTCGATTCGTTTGACGCGAAATTAAGAATAGTGACCCGCCTTCCATTATTCTAAGACAGATGTACTGTTGCAGAAGTATATAAATGTATATTTAAAGCTGTGGTCTCAATAGCGTAATAGTCAGCGCTTTGGATTTTTGCGCTGGCGACCCGGGTTCAATCTCCTTTGTTTCCATAAAAAGTTATATCACTTTTCAACTCGATTTTGTGGTGTTTTTTTTTCCAGAATTGGACGGAAGACCTCTCGTTGCTCGCAACGAGTTTCACATCTAGTTATTCTAATAATTGTTGTTTAATGACTAAAATTCTTCTCAAGCAACGTTTTAGAATTACATTTCCTTGACTCTTAGATAGAATTTCTAATTTAAGAAAATATGGTTAAGTTGATATTTGTACCATCATATGCTTAATAAATATTTTGTTTTCTACATTTTATTTAACACTCCTATAGTGTGTTTTTAAAATCATTATTTCAAAAATCTGTTTTACAGTAGATTGAAATGAGATAAAAAAGATTTAATACTACATTTTCCCCTACATTTTATCAAACCTAGATACAATAAGATGAAAAAAAGTTTAACAATACCAAAACTACAAATTTGTATTTATCTTTATCTTGTTTCTCTTACTGCATTCAGCTAGAATTTCAATAAAAATTCAAAAGAGATAAAATAACAAAGTTGCTTATCGAGTTCGTATCAATAAAAATCGAGTCATATAGTTAAATAGTCATATAATAAAACTTTGTTTTTAAAAAAAAATTGTACCGGTTAAAGAAGGTACATTATATTTAATTGATTTATAAAATGAATTCAATGAGTTTTGTCGTCATATTGTATTTTACAGAAAATATTCTTAATTAATTTTCGAAGAGGAGATACCTATCAGACTTTAATATATATATATAATATATATATATATATATATATATATATATATATATATATATATATATATATATATATATATATATATATATATATATATATATATATATATATATATTATATATTATATATATATATTACTAGATATTGACCTTAAGCGATATTTAAATACAATTAGTTTTCTATCGTGTTTTGACATTTCAATCGTCTTGTTTAACGTTTCTAAAGTGATGGAACAATCTGTGATTTGGAATGTGCCTCTCAATTGGACAGAAGCAAGGGCCGCATGCAGAGACACAAAATCGCATCTTTTAAACTTCTCTGAAATGAAAAATAGGCTTGAATACTTCGAACGCAATTTAACACTAAACAAAAAGTACTGGGTTGGAGAAACATGGATACCAAAACTTCTTGCTGTAAAAGGTATGCACTTGCACAGAAACTAGTAATGTTTGAACATTTTTTTTTAAAATGGATAAATCTGTTCTTCATTGTGGTTGTATAAAGGTAAGCATAATTATTTAAGGTATTTTTTCCATTATTGGCTGTCGCATTCATTGCTTTATCAAGGTTGTCATTCGAAAACGAACGGATTGTCAACGAAAACATTTGAAAGAAACATCCTTTCAGAATGTGTAAAATATTGCGAAAATCAAAGCGATATCACAATTGGAATACAGGTAAGTTCTCGATTAAATCTGTTTAAACTTCAAAGCAAATCTGCATAAGTATACGTGTAACTCTCCAAACGATTGCATCATCTTAATAATGATTTTACTCAATATGTACATTGCAGGGTTCAAATTGCTCGTGTATTGTCGATCAAAATCTTCAAAATTTTGAGTCCAATACTTGCGACATGATATGTGTTTGGAACAACATTCCATGTAGAACAGAAAAACTTTCATTTGCAGTATATCAGATTACAAGGGGTAAGAAGATAATATCGAACATTTTAGATGCATGAAGTTCTAAATTATATGTAGACGCACCATCTTAATTTTGTTCAATTGACTTTTGCGAGATGCACTGACACTATCAGTTGATGATTTAATTTGAAACCTGTGTCGTGTTTAATGAGAGATCCTTTCTAGTTGTCTTAAGTATGCATGGTGAAAGGGTCACTAACATGTGAAGGCCGGAAGTTGAGGGTAGGTTGGGGTATCCTTATCTTCTACTGAAATAATCAGTTATATTTGTTTAATTAAATATTCCGCTTAATATTTATATCGTTAAAGAGCTTCCGTACATTTTCTCAGTGTAAAAGTAAACCGCCAACTGTTAAAGTCAGTGCTCATAGCAAAAGTCCAGTATCCGTAATACATGTACTTGACTTTTCCAGGACTTTATATTATCTCACTTGAGCCGCGGCTTTAGTTCATGTTAGCTTTTCTGTTCAAAGAATTTCCGGAGTTCGTCTGTCGTCCATTGTCTTTTTTCTGTACCGTTTAGCATTTCGACTTTTTCTCAAGAATCACGGGCCGATTTCCAAACTTGCTACAAAGAATCTTTGGGTAAAGCTTTTTTTACAGGTAAAGCCAAGCCCTCTTTCAATGGAGATAAATTAGAACTCACTAAAACTTTGTTGCATCTTTTGAAGATGAAACAAACACGAAAGCTTTATCACATACTTTAGATTTAAGTTCCTTCATATCATAAACCAGGGGTAGAGTGGGGACAGAAGACAGTTTTACAAAGGAGTGTATAGACAATGTCTTTGAAATCTTACGAGAACAAAAAAGACATGATTAGTCAGAATTATCCCCAGGTAGTGTAGATTCAAGTTTGTTCCAATAATGATTCCTGGGGTTAGGGCAGGCATAACATTGGGTCAAAGTTTACCATATGAATATATACTTCGGTGGGAAATATCTTTAAAATCTTCTTCTTAAGAACAGCTACGCCATTGTTAGTCAACTTAACATAAACATATCCTTTGGTAGTGTAGACTCAGGTTTGTTACCCGAGAAAGTAGGGCGGGATCAGAGTTTACAAAGAAAGATATATGTGTGATAGTTAAGGGAAATTTGAGTAAATGCTACTTTTCAGGCAGAATGGGTATATAGGGCAAAACATTTGGAAAATCGGGCATTCAGAAGATAGAGGAAGAAAGTAAACGTTGAATTAGCTATAAAAAGGTTACGATCAAGAGCAAAATAAAAGTTTAAAGTTTTAACACGAGTGGCAAATATCAAAGGAAAAAGATGACAAGTTCTAAGTATAGTAAATACGAAGATTGAGACACCCAGTTCTTATATATATCTAAGGGAACCAAAGGGAGAAACACAGAAAACAGTATCTATATATTACCTAGTCACTGTCTCTAGATAAAAGAACATTTAAGTTCTGTGAAATTTACCTTAAGACAGAGCTGTCTCATTAATCATCCAGGTCTTACAACAATCGATTAGATTTCCACGGATACCAATTGCACCCCGTTATTAGCAGACCTATTTTTGTATTTATATATATGAAGCAGAATTTGTCTAAAATCTTATACGTGAAAAAAAGAAAACGCTAGCTGTTGCTTTCAACTCGACTCGAACGAACGTGTTGTCAATTAACAATGGTTATTTCAATTTCGATGTCGATACACTGTACGATATATCCCGGTGAGCTTGAAATTATGTGCAAGTCTGTGTGATTCACAAACTAATAATTCACGCTAAACTTAAAAAGATTCCTAGCGGACTTTTAGGAGAAGAACTGACTTTTACAACTGACTGTTTACTTTTATTCACATCTACGGAGGTACAGAATTGATAATGGAAAAGAAAACCTTTCTGGTGGTCATGGTAATGGTGTTAGGGGCATTTGTATGTGAAAGCTTGGATTTGATGGTAGGGTGGTTGTCGATTTCTTCAAAGACAACTTATCTGTGCTTTGAAATAGCCAATTATTTTCGTTGAATTAATGATTTGAAGTTTTAACTTTTGTCAACCTCATAATCCGTAATCGTAATCCGAGTTTCTGCAGAATTTTACAAGATACAAAAAAATCATAAAGTGATACATCACTTTTTAGTTAAATATTTTCTGTGCTCCGGGTCACCATCCAAAGTCTAATAATGAAGCTATAATTGTAATTATGTATTTGAAATTCAATATAATTTTTTTTACATTTTTAATTCACATTTAGTAAATTATTATAAATATGTTAATAACAAATATCAATGACACCATTTTTATTTAAACTTGTCCACGAACTTTACGGAAAACCTTTATATATAAATATATATGGGAAATTAGTAAATCTCCGATTAATTATCAGGGAATGCGAACAGAAACACATGCTATTCATTTTCAAATAGAAAATTGATCAACAAATTTATTTTAGGATGATAAATTACAGACATTCAGACTTTTGAAGATATTGTGTTTTATACTTGTACGGTGTATATGTACATGAAAAACAATTTCTTACGCATACTAAAGGAATATATATAATTATATGTAATTTTGAAGAAAAAAAAGCTTGATAGTCTGCCAAAGATAAAATTTAAAAAAGAAAAGAATTAGTAAATATATTTTACTGTTTTGCATTATTTACATGTAGATGATCCCCAACTCCTCCCAGGGAAACTGTTCCACGATTGTGTTTATTATGATAAGAGATATAATTTTTCAAGAGACGATTGTAATAAGAAGCACCCTTTTATTTGTCAAGGTAAGATGTTTGTTTTGAAAACGATTTTTTTGTCGTCGATATGTTATAGATTGCTTTAATGTGAATTCAAATAAAGGTGCGTAGACACAGATTTAAAGTAATATTTTCTCAAATTTTATGTATAATTTCATGACTTATATGTTGGTATAGCATTTCATACTAAAATTTCATAAAAATCTTATTTCATCTCGAAGTAATTGAAACGTCAAAGTTCCGGACCCGTTTGATTGATATGTCCTAGCACTTTCGCAATTTTTTTTCAGAGTTTAACAATGGAATACACCAGGTGAATCGCAAACATTAACAATTACAGAGCCCGTGCCCTGTTAACAAAACAGTTTACGTTTAACGGATGTGTTCAGTTTGTTAAACTCTTAGCACTGATAACGGGCTGACATTCTGGTGAGAATTTTCTGATTTCGAACATTTCTTTTCTGAATTTTCTGAATCATAGATATATTTTTTTTCCATTAATACAGAACAAAATTCCTTCTTTTCTTAAATATAAAGGATAAAGTTCAGGAATTCGTAGTTCCAATTTCCAGATAAAATAATGCGAAATGCCATTGCAATATATAAGTCGTGATATAATACAGAAAACATTAAATATTAAGTTCAAATCTGTATTTAAGCACCTTTAATTACAAATATAATGTAGGATAATTAACTTTTAGAGAAGGTTTGCCAATGTAGATGTAATTGTTAATTATTCAAATAGTACGTGCTTCCAAATAAAAATGTATATAATGTGGCTTTAAACTGAAAACCATGACAATATGTGCATAGGATGAACAAGTAACTAAAACAGAAAAATTAGTAATGGAATGTGATTTTTTTAATCCTTAGAAAGTCCTCTCTGTATACAGTACAAAAACAGTAAATCATAAGTAATGGATATATGCCGAATACTGTTCTATATGTAAAATTATCAGACTGTTTGAGGCCCGTTACATATAGAATAGTATGAGGCATATATCTTACTTAAAACATTGCCATTTAAATGTCCAAAAGTTACCTGGAGGAGTCTGATAATAACACAATGGGAGTTTAGGCATCCATTGTTTTCTACCTGTCTGATAAGTAGATAAAAGAAATGAGACAGTAAAAATAGTGAGTGAACTCTTGTTTCATTTCATTCATTCAATGGCAGTCGTTTAGTTTAGCAGGACAGGGGTCCGGTGGTGTAGGATTTTTTTTTTGGGGGGGGGGGGGGGGGGGGGACATTTTTATTTATGATGTGCATAAATTGACATTGATACTGACATAATCTTGGGAGATATTATAACCATCACCATGGAAAGTAAAAATGCGGATTTTTACCCTGAAGTTTTAGTTTAGCTGTTTAGATAATGGAAATATTCTCAGGTTTAAAAAGTGTGGCCATCGGGGACCAAACATAAAATAAGGAGATTTGCAGACTCTTTTTCAGAAATGGATTTAGATTCGCTTATTCAAAGTGCTGTATCAAAAATTCTTTTAAAGAGTGGAAAGTATTAATGTTGTGGAAGGTTTAAATTCGGATTTTTTTTTCATGGATTTGCTATTTTGTAGCAACTTAATTTCCTTGCGTTTGCTTTCCCTGAATTTTTTTCCTAACATTCTTATTGGGGGTTTCTGGACATATTTAACCTTAATTTCACTCTTCTCTTTGCTTTTTAAATACTGTCCGATTTTGTTATCATTGCTGTCCGATAATATATTATCAGACTGGTAATTATTATTATCGGACGGCTACAGGTAAATTTTTAGACTGCAAGAACAAAGGCATGACGTCACAGCAATGTTTTAATGAAAAGGCCGCTAGGGTTTTGGAGCAAACAACTCGTATTTCGTAAAATCATATAGTTATGTGATTTCATACTAATTAACATATGACATGCTATTGAACAATTTTGAAAGTTTTTATCATCAGGCCCTTAAAGCATATTATGTTTGAGTCAAAGAAAGGCAATATGGCACTGAAATTTTTTGATAGTTAGGTAGTCCAAAATGAAAATGGTGTCCAAACTTGTATTATTATTCAGTGGTCATATGCCAAATTAAGTGTTTCATTAAACAAGTTTTAAACATTTTAAAGTCGATTCTAATTTTAACAAAGTTCTAAAAAGATTTTATAAAGATTTTGTTAAGATTTTACAATTGATCTAAACCATTTTTTGGCATAATAGATCATATGCACCTATTTTATAAAGATTTTGTTAAGATTTTACAATTGATCAATTTCTTACGGTACGTAATTTGTTGACTTTGCGACTGTTGGGGCGAGCGCAGACATTTTCAGTTTTATAAATAAGATAGAACGTTTTATTAACTATCTATCTGCAATATATCAATATATCCATTAAATCAAGGTGAGTTTTTATTTTTTGCGGAACTTTTGTTGTAATTCTCTCGAGAATGTAGCATTACAAAGCTATGCATTGTGGGTTCAAATTACTGCGGAAATATTCTATAGCATGAATGTGCAGTAGTCGAGTTTTCTTTTCGCTCAGGCGTTGTCGTTAGAGCTCGCAGTGACTAGCGTCGGTTGCCTAAAGTCAACTTTCAAAGAATAATGCTTATATGAAAACTATCCAGCTCTTATAACTTAAGATTAGTACATGGAATCTGCAAAGAGGAAAAACTTATTTTTAAAAACAAAAATCTTCCGTAGCAGTGCATTTATTCTTACGATGTCCTAGTCTTTTCTTTTAATCTTTTAAATAGGCTAAAAAATGGAAAAATCAGAATCCTCTCTCGTGAGCCTTGAACACAGTTTGTTTGTTTTTTTTGTTTTTTTTTTTTTTTTTTTTTTTTTTTTGGTTTAAATAAAATGTGAATGTATATAGTTGAAGGTATAATTAAAAATATAATTGTATTATATTTTAACAACAAATTTATAAACTTTTCATTGTAGATAAAAATGGAAAGTTAAAATTTAATGATATCCCAAGCACATGGATGGAAGCAAGTGAAATCTGTTTTAAAGAAAACAGGATTCTCGCTAATATAAACAAAAATACTATGTCTCAAATGTCTAGAGACAATAATGTTGACTACAGTAAATACTACTGGATTGGATTAAGACAATCGTACGTCTATCAAACAGGTATATTTTATTTTCAATTGACAAAATCATCATGATTTCGAAAACAGAAAAGATGAGAACCTTATTCAATTTCATTTTATAATAGTTACAGCTTGAATTTTGCACACTTTTGGAATGGCTTGGGTTGCAATGCCAGTATGTTACCACTTACAGTATCAATATTTATATCATTTTTGTGTCCTTTATTTTTTTTATATCTTTTTTGCTGTCTATTTTCAATGAATAGAAAGAATGAACAGAAGAATATGTTTCAGATTATGTATGGAAATGAGCAGAAATACATGTAGAATGTGTCTTATAAAAATGACACAAAAACAACTGACACAAAGACAATTTTAAAATCAAGCACAATTTCATTGTTTGTGCAAGCTAAACTAGATACTAGTACACGGATCTATTTTTTTTTTTCAGATGTGGAATCATCTCGATGTTCATTTATCCAAAAGTATAATTCCGAAGACCTAACTTATTCGAAAGATTTATGCTCGGAGGAAAACCCATACCTTTGTTTAAAAGGTAAGTAAAAGTCACACACTAGGTTTCTCGTGTTGGGGGTTTTGTGGATGGATGGGGTTCATTACGATATCTCCTGTCATTTGATGTAATTTTTCCTTAAGACAAGATTGGAAAGAAAACATCCTTGCTCATACATGTTGGAAAAAAATGCTGTTCAACAAAGTATCTGATCCATGTGAAAAAGAGTTAAAAATTAGACTGAAATAAAGTCATACGTCGTGAAACGCTCCTGCTTTTACACCAAGTGAAGAACGACACATTTGCCTTCAAGCGTCAATATTGGATTCCTTTTTTTTGGTTAACTTGTTTAGATAAACTTCACAAACACATTTCATATTATTGATTATTCCATTAGATCCTGCAAGGACAGCATCATCTACAAAAACTGTTCGAAGTAAGTGTTTCTAGATGTACATCTTCTGTGAATCATGCACCTCATCCATCTTCTATCAGTGAGTCTGTTATGGCGTGTAAAACGTTGCTTTATTCGATAATCTTGTGATGTATATTCAAAATCTTGTGATGTATGTTCTAAATCTTGTGATGTATGTCCTAAATCTTGTGATGTATATTCAAAATCTTTTGTTTAATGTTCAAGATTTTGTGATGCATATTCAAAAACTTGTGTGGTATATTCTATATTCTATGATCTTGTGATGTATGTTCTACAATCTTGTGATGCATATGCAATATCTTGTGATGTATATTCAAAATCTTGTGATGTATATCCTATAATCTTGTGATGTATGTTCGAAATCTTGTGATGTATATTCAAAATTTTGTGATGTATATTCAATAATCTTGTGATGTATGTTCGAAATCTTGTGATGTATATTCGATAATCTTGTGATGTATATTCAAAATCTTGTGATGTATGTTCTACAATCCAGTGATGCGTGCAATAATATTGCATTATAGGCAACATGACCCAACAGTATTCTAAGAAAGTCATGAAGACAATTTTCATTTGTTAGAAATAATGAAAGTAGCCGGAGCGGTGATTGTCATCGTAATGCACACTTTCACGTAATGACTGACTTAGTGCTTCGTGATACCAAAACAATACATTTTCACAATAGTGTCGTACTATAGTATTACCTATAATTTGGACTTTATTCTGAATTCGCCAATTTCACACTTGCGAAGTTGTGTGCATCACGATGACGATCACCGCTCCGGCTACTTTCATTATTTGTAACCAATGCAAATTGCCCTTACTTTCTTAGAATACTGTTGCGTCATATTTCCCATAATGCAATATTATTGCTCGCATCACTAGCTTATAGAACATACATCACAAGATTATCGAATATACATCACAAGATTATAGAACATGCATCACAAGATTTCGAATATACATCACAAGATATTGAATATCCCTCACAAGATTTTGAACATATATCAGTTATATCACTAGATTTAGAACATACATCACAAGACTATCGAATATACATCACAAGATTTGAATATACATAACAAGATATTGCATTTAAATCACAAGATTGTAGAACATACTTTGAATAAACATCGCAAGATATTGAACATACATCACAAGATTTTGAATATACATTACAAGATTTAGAACATACATCACAAGATTTTGAATATACATCACAAGATTTAGAACATACATCACAAGATTTTGAATATACATCACAAGATTTTGAATATACATTACAAGATTTAGAACATACATCACAAGATTTTGAATATACATCACAAGATTTAGAACATACATCACAAGATTTTGAATATACATCACAAGATTTTGAATATACATCACAAGATTTCGAACATACATCACAAGATTTTGAATATACATCACAAGATTTAGAATATACATCACAAGATTATCGAATAAAGCAACGTTTTACACGCCATAGTCTGTCATTCATGATATTATTAAGCTACTATGAAGATTATGCTATTCTTTAAAAAGGAGTTATATTAAACACGCTTATCATAGCAAGTATAAATATATAATGATGTATCTCCTCTCTCTAACACTTATGCAAAGAAGGTCTATAGCTATATGATATCAAATCTTTTGAGAAATGTTCGATTGACTGATTGATTGAATATTGTTTAACGTCCCTCTCGAGAATTTTTCACTCATATGGAGACGCCACCACTTGCCGGTGGAAAGCTGCAAATTTTGTCCTATACTCGGCACTCGATATCAGGGCCATTGAGCAGGGAGGGATCTTTTTCGTGCCAGCACCATGTATTATCAATGCTGGGGAACTGGCTGAGGCATTGCCGAAACCTTCATTGAGAATTAACTTCAAAATAACGTGTTTTATCTTGTCTCTTTCCATAAATATGTGTGTATTTGCAAGGAAGTGATAGAATTCAATTGATGATTCACGTTTTTATTTCCTATAACGGAAGTCAGCAATAGCTCGAGAAATACTGTTGGAGGTATAACAAGAGATGAAAACATTGAAACAACAAATAAGATCAGTACACTAACGGTCGCTGGAGGAGGTGTTGGAGGAGGTATCAAAGTGAACTATGACAGATTATGCATTTTTAAGCATCATGTTATTATATGTTTTAATGAATTGTTTTTACGTCACAAAAAAGGAAAGATCCTACAAAAACTATGCATATCATTTTCATGATTTGAAATGATTCTTCAAATACGAGGTTTGTCAAAGAAAAACAGGAACATCTTCAATATTTTTATTTCCAAAACAGTATTTCAAATAAAAAAAACAAGTCTCATTCATCATAAGTCTTTTCAATGTCTAAAATTTCTACATTATCTCTATAAGTAAAAGTTTCAGGTGAAATATCACTCTGCTCCAAATTTCACCATTTTTTTTTTAAATTCCAAGCACTGATTTTCATCAACAACAATAGCATTAGATTCAAATGGAAAATAGTTTGAAGCATGAAGCGTTGCTTACTTTTTCAGACATGAATAATAATTATGTCAAATCAGATGTGAAGAAAATTTGATATGGTAAAACCTTAAATTTCTAACTCCCTAAAATATCTCTATAAATAAAATTTCTCTTTTCCTGTATGGATAGGAGATACGCCCTACTTAACACAGTACTGTGTGGTACATTGTTGCCCCCGGCTATGGGGCCATAAAATCTAGACGAACTCACTTTTGATCTCAATCTCACTTTTACAAAAGGAATAACTCGTTTTATGGCCCCGAGGCCATGTTAATATTTTGTCAACATAATCGAGAAATGTTTGTGTATATAACGTCATTTTTTTTATTAACTGTGTCAGATTTATGAATTTCTACAAAATATCACTCCAGATCAAAAATAATTCTTTTGAATTTTTTTTTCACATAATAATTCCCTATAGCTTTAATTAACTATCAAGGAAATGTCTCTGGCAATGTATTTTTTGAAGTAGAAAAAATTGAGTTGCGTCGACCACCAATATCGAACTAAAATGTCGTTTTTCCACTTACGTGCAATTGCAAATCATAACACAACCTCATAAAGTAAATGCATGGGGAAAATTACATTTCCCAACAAGGTTTTAGATTACTTAATTTGTGCATGTTGTTTATGAAATGTTCAAAGTTCGCATTTCTGTGACAAAACTCGTATACAAAGTAGATTTACATGCATGTCTTTACTCAGGTAAGTATCAAGGAGTAACATTTACTAGTAATAAAATGTCAGCTGCATATTTGGAAAGGAATCTTATAGATACAATCCCATTTTAATACAAATCAGTTTTCACAATCTAGAAATTGCTTCATGATTTTGCATTGTGGCACAGAGGAATCACGTCACGGTTTTACTTTATATTTTTATCTTTTTTCTTGTTTATTCTTTTTTTTTTTTGCTCGAAATTATGATGATAAATTGATGCAAGATACTGAGATGCAAAAAGGTTTTGATTCAAGCGTGTTAAGGTCAAGAAACACAAGTTTGGAACAATTTCTTACCAAATGTTTATGTTTTTCCAAATGTTTGGTCCTGTTCCGGGCCTTCGCCAGTTCTTCATCACCTTGAAATTAAAATGGAACATTCTTCGGCAAATAAAGAGATTTTCATTCAGTTCAAAATTATTGATAATTTAAGGGTATTACATGTACAAATGTATTATTGCAAGATCGACTTGTTATGAAAAGAGATTGCAAATCTTTTGATGACGACAGGTGAGATTGGAATGCAATCTTTATGCTCATCGTAGTTGCATGAAGTTTCTGAAATCGCATTGCGTATTTGAAACACTTACTTTATAGCAGCAGTTCTCTTTTGATACATTTCCAACATAGTAGATACGTGTATGCATCCATGAAAATGATACTGATTTGAGTTATGTGCAATTCTAGATGCAAATTACCAGATGGAACTCCAAAGTGAGTCAGCAAAGCATGAGCGTGGAAGTGATTGGAATGAAGGTGGTCTGCTATTCTTTACGCATATCTATATCAATATTCATCAATACTCATCTCTTTTGCTATCGAATAAATTTCGTTATTATTCTCGGGCATTTTTTTCTTTGAGTAATTTAACAGTAATTGTAGTTCGTTTTGATATTTGAGTTAATTGTTTAATATTACAATTACTTCATTATTTAATAAGGTTCAGGTGTCCTTGCTGGTGTAATAGTTGGGATTATCGGGACAGTTGCTATAGTGGTGCTCGTTGTCATATGCTTGTTTTTCAGGTAAGTACCGTAGGTATATGTTTAAGCTGCAGAATGTAAAAAAGAACATGTATTATTAACAAAGTGAGCCATATCTCTTACTTATTTCGAATCTCGATAAAATAAAATAACTTTCACAGTGAATCTATAACTATATCACCAAAGATAGCATGATAATTTTTTTCAGATCCAGAAATAAAAATTCCGGGTCCAAATATCAATCCCCAACGGTCATCTTCTCCAGCACTCCAAGGCGTGATAGTAAACTCCCAGAGGACAAATCGATGAAATCGTCCCCCATAAAACCTGTAAGGAGGTCAAAGAAATCCAACCCAGGCTCTATGTCGGGGGGTACAGCTTATGAAAATATTGTACTTACATTAGAAGATCCAAAAACGATTTCCCGAGTTGTAAGTTCATCTTCAACAGCACAAAAACAAGACACGAAAGATGTCGAAAATAGTTATGACGTCATGGGTGCAGGCAAAAACAATAACCCGAGTGGTACCAGTCAGAGCGTTTATGGGTTTAGTGCGCCAGATAATGAATATGACGTAATGGATAGGGGTACAAGACGTAATGAAGAAATGAATCCTGATTATGATCACATGTGACGAAAAAGATTCATATGAGAGATCATTTCATTGATAAATAACTTAATTATTCATGATAGGTTTTAATTTATGTTTACATTTTTTTATTACTACATATACATGCCTTTTATTGTCAAGGGGGCATAACATGTTTGCAGTGAGTGATTGCATGAATCCTATGAAGAATATAATATGTATAAGATCATCAAGAAATATTTTGAAATGTTCATGTCTGTGTGTCAGAGGATGTAAGGGTGTATGAGAGTGTGCATTTGTCTGGGAAAAAAGTATCTGAGGTTTTTAAGTAATGGAAGTCAAATGGAATAAATGTGTAAACTGAATTTTTATTACCGTATAAGTGGAAAATTTAGCGAGACGCAAATTTAGCGATTTGTCCTTAAAAACTGGTAATTTATTTCTAGCGAGATGTTATTTTAGCGATTTTAAAATGCACATTTAAAAAGCTATTACAAATAAAACGCAATTAATTTTTAGCGATATTCAATATTAGCGATCACGACTCCCTCGCTAATAATGCCAAAATTAAATCCTCGCTAAAAATTCTACTTATACGGTATTCTGACCATTGTAAAAGGAATGACTTTTAAAGGAGAAAACCATTTTGTTTAATTTCAATTTACAAGATGTGCATGATGGTATACTGAAGGAAGAAATGTTCAAAAACAACACAATGCAAGAATGATTGTTTTTTTTAAGATGCTCATTTTGGTACTTATGATTGAAAGATATTCTGTTGACATTTAATATTTAGGATAAAAAAACGAAATGTCAAAATAATCTAACTCAAGATGAATGATTAAACCAAGGTCGCTGTCACTCAATAGTTCTTTGTTTTTGTTTCTTCTATTGGTCAAAAATTCTTCCAAAATTTTCACAGTCCGTAAAGGGAACAATCAATTCAATCTCCAGAATAATCTTGTTACTAACCTAAACTTAACTCAATGTTATCTTCAATTTTAAGTTAAATGAAAATTCATATCGAAGTTTATGATACGTAATTTCTTTATATTGCTTTATAAAATACTTAATTGACTTCAATTAATACCATCAAAACGCACGCCTCTTCAAAATTTTATACAACCATTCCCCGCAAATAAAGTCAGGCTTTTGATAATATAGATAGCAAAAAATGTAACTCATTCCTTAATGCTTACCATTTTACTTGTTACTTTCAAGTTTATTTTGTTAAAAATTACTGATTCTACACACTGGTACTCCAAAGTAGATATTAAAAAGATGTTTGAATTTCTGAATTATGAATCTCTAAAATTCTTTCGGATTTCCCTTTGATTCTTATTATACCCATTGTAAGTTAACCTGAAGCAGAATTACTCAAACAAGAGACCCAAGGGCCACATCGCTCACCTAAGTACTGTGGCTAGGTTAAAAGCAAAAATCAGTTTAGTATTAAAAGCTTAAATGCATGACTGGTCACTTTGATCCCCCATTGTGACCCCGCCTTTCCCCCGGGGGTCATGATTTGAACAAACTTGAATCTATACTACCAGAGGATGCTTCCACATGAGTTTCATATTCCATGGCCCAGTGCTTTTTGAGAAGAAGATTTATGAAGATTTTCCCTATGTATTCCTATGTTAAACTTTGACTCCTTATCATGGCCCCACCCTACCCCCGGGAGTCATGACTTGAACAAACTTGAATTTACACTACCAGAGGATGCTTCCACATGAGTTTCATATTTCCTGGCCAAGTGGTTCTTGAGAAGAAGAATTTTAATGATTTTCCCTATGTTTTCGGATGTTAATCTTTGGCCCCTCATAATGGTCCCACCCTACCCCTGGGGGTCATGATTTGAACAAACTTGAATTTACACTACCTGAGGATTCTTCCACGTAAATTTCATCTTTCCTGGCCCTGTGGTTCTGAAGAAGAAAATTTTTTTAGATGCCATTAATTTTTCACTATTTCATAATTATTTCCCCTTAGAAAAGGACATGACCCTTCATTTGAACAAATTTGAATCCCCTTCACGAATACGTTTTGACAAGTTTGGTTGAAATTGGCCCAGTGGTTTTTGAGTAGAATATGAAAATGTGAAAAGTTTACGACAACGACGTCGACAACGACGACAGACAACGGACAAATTTTGATCAGAAAAGCTCACTTGAGCCTTCGGCTCAGGTGAGCTAAAAAGGAAGTAAAAATCTTGTTTTGGCCTTCAATTCAACAATAAGATATTTCGACGACGCTTTGTCAGCACTTATATTCATTTTTAGGTCACCTGAGTAAACTCTGGTGACGTATTGCTATCTGTTTTCGTCCGTCGTCGTTCGTCGTGCGTTAACATTTTAACATTTTCAGCTTCTTCTCTGAAACCACTGAAACAATTTCAATCAATTTTAGCATATAGCATCTATGGGTGAAGGCAAACAAAAATTGTGAATTTCATGGTCCCCCCCCCCCTCCCTCTGTGACTAGGGGAGGGGGGCAAACCACTAAAATTAGTGCAATTTTCTTCTTTACTCCTGGACATCAAGCAGTCAAACTGTTGGTATGATTGTAATCAGCATTGAGTCCTCTAGCAAATTTGTGAAATTCATGGCTCCAGAGTCAGGGGTTCTAGTGCTAGGGCGGGGCTAAATAGATTATATATAGTGAAAATGCATAAAGTTTTGAAATTCTTCTTCTCTGCTCCTGGGCATTTAATAAACTAACAAGTGCATTGTTAAGTTGAAAATGACTGCCTCCTCCAAAATTGTGAATTTCATGGCCCAAGGGTTAGGGGTTCTAGTGGCAGGGCGGGGCTATAAAGATTATATAGTGAAAATGTATAAATTCTTTGAAATTCTTCTTCTCTGTTCGTGGGAATTAAATAAACTAACCAAGTGCATAGTTATGTTGAGTAAGGCTGCCTCTTCCAAAATTGTGAATTTCATGGCCCCAAGATTAGGGGGTTCAAGTGCTAGGGCGGGGCTATAAAGATTAAAGAGTGAAAATGGATTATTTTTGAAAATCTTCTCTGCTCCTGAGTATTAAATAAACTAAACAAGTACATAGTTATGTTGAATAAGACTGCCTCTTCCAAAATTGTGAATTTCATTGCCCCTGGGTTAGGGGTTCTGGTGTTAGCGTGGGGTTCTATTGATTATATAGTGAAAATGCATAAATTCTTTAAAAATCTTCTTTTCTGTACCAGCTGGGTATTTAACCAATGAACTATGCACATAGTTATGAGGAGGAAGGATGCCTCTTTGAGATTTGTGAATTTTAGGGCCCCTGAGTCAGGGCTTCTTGTGTTTGGGTGGGGCCCTAATATTTATATAGTGAAAACGCTTGAATTCTTTGAAAATCTTTTCCTCTGCTCCTGGGTATTATTCCAATGATCTTAGTACATATTTATGACGAAGAAAGCTGCCTCTTCCAAAATGGTTAATTACCGGGCTCCTGGGACAGAGGTACTGGGGGCATAGTTTCAAAATAATTTAATGCTTTGAAATCTGTACTTTGCTATTAATCAACAACATGATGAAATAAAATTCATAAAATTTCCAAAATTTTGAAAGATGTGGCCCCAGGGTCAGTGGTTCCTGTGGGATGGGGTGCACAACTAATAAAGTGGAAGTGCATTTTCTCTTTGTTACTCTGATCTACCTATGGGTATTAAAGCTGACATGAATTCTTAAAAACGCAACTTTTTCATTTATGTACGACTTGTTTCATACCAACTATGGCCGTATTCCGCCATATTTCTCTCAGATACCTTGTCTTATTGTAACGATATATACCCGAATGCCCTCGTTACACTTGAATGATTTTTTGGCTTGGCTATCGACTTGTGCACATCTCCGATGGTAAAACATTTGAAAACACATGGATTGATCAAGACATTTCAAAACCACACAACATAATAATCATATTTCTGAATAATTATAGATTTGAATCAAATGTAATAAAAAAAGAAAGAAAATGCAAGTTTGAAAGAAAGATTTAGTTGCACGAGTACGCATTTTTACACTGCGCCAATTTATGCAGAATAAACATGAAATAAAAAGCACTAAAACCCGTAAACACACTTTGAAATTATTATCATTTGAATGGAACAAAACCATCAGCGTCTTTGATTTGCAGGTCTTATACAGACTTTGATGCATGTCGAGAAAACGCGTCGAACGCTGTAAACGCACCCATACCTGGTAATATTTCCATTTCTAATTTTTTTTCTCTATAATAACCCTTTGAAATTAAGCGGAGTTGATTTCCTGATAATTCTGCCGGAATGTAAATTAGGCAGGTCGATAGGTCAGCAGCTAAGGAGGCCTAATACGCATGCAAATCTCGTGCGCATCTGTCTCTGTGTCTGACGCTAAGGAGGCCAAATATGCATGTAAATCTCGTGCGGCTGCCTTTGTGTTTGACGTCAGTGTGCGAGGACTATTGAAATTGGCATAGAAGTCCTCGTGTAATTTAAATCGATTAGTCTACATCTTAATGTCTAAATCTACAATTTTATTTCACTGGAAATATAAGGAATCACTGTCTAGTTTCGAGAGTATGCCAGGGACATCAACAATAGTGGAAAACATGGGATAATTTTAGCATAACGGGCTTCGCCCGTTATGCAAATTATCCCATGTTTCCCACTATTGTTGATGCCCTGGCATACTCTCGAAACTAGACAGTGATTCCTTAAATAAGATCACTGCATCGGTTCGAAGATGTGCACAAGTCAAGTGATATACACCCTGAATTCCATTTATTGAAATATGCATCACAAAAAAGAAATAAACTCCATAAAAACTCAATAAACACACTGTATCTACTCCGTACAGTCTAGCGCGTCGATACACTTAGTCCGTGCTGATCAGATTTTGGTCAGGGAAAATATCACAAGTGGAAAAGAGTGGTATTTGGGCGGCTGAAATGGGGGGGGGGGGATCTAAAGTATAATTATAACGGCTTCATAAGGTATAACTGAAAATTGTCTATCTAGTTCTAATAAACATTCTTTATACAGTCTGCAGTTGTTTTGCATCGCAAAATTCATTTGTCAATTACAACTGATTATTTTAGTACTAATCTCAAATCTAAACCAAGTAATTTGATATACGGTAAATATTTAGTTCAAGACTTAAAAACATTTAACCAGAATACAAAAGTTTATGTGTGCATCTGTACGTTCTTTAACACACACGCGGAAAAAACATCCCCCTTTTAGACTGATGTTGAGGCATTTGTATTTTAAGGGGGGGGGCAGAAATAATTGACATGGCCGTTACCTAAATATTCTTGGAAGACAGACATTTCTGCCAATTCCATTTTTGAAGATTTTTTATTGTCTCACTCCGACCACAAAGTATGAACATTTTTGCGGAATGTGCATGGCTGTTTTATAATTATTAAAGGAAGTCTTTCGAGAATTCAGTATCCCTGTCTGACAGTCTAGTTTTTTAAAAAATAAAAATAATTTCTGTTGCAATATTTGGGAGATACTTTTAAAAACCTTGGTAGGGAAACTTGAAACCTGGTGGAATACAGATAATTTTTAATTACTCTTTTATTCATTGAACTCTCTCGCTTTCTCTCCTCCTGTAACCATCTGTAAGCGCAATAATAGATATAAAATCATATCTATTTTGTGCTGTACCATTTATTAGATCTTGGGACAGATCAAAGATTTTTTTTGTCAGGCGGGGATGTCGAAACTTGTTCAAAAATTGAAATAATAATTTTACTTTTGACAAGAAAATAAACCTAAACGCCGAAATTGAAAGGAAAATACATGTAAACGTGAAGTCTACATCATAGGAATGGGAACATTGGGAACTTTCTCAAATGCATGTACCTTCTCAGGTAAG